ACTGGTAAAATAGTTTTTTTAGTACAATGTTTCTTTTTTAAGAAAACAGTTTTGTCGTTAGTCTTTTTAAAACATTTTAAGCAGTATTTGTTTTATTTTTTAGAGCAGTTAAGAGGAGCTGATCGCTTTTTTAGTAAGTTCAAGTTATTTTCTCATACATAAATTAAGGTTTTTGATTTATTTCAGTCTATTTTATATTTCTCTATATCTACATATATATATTCTCTAAGGAAAAATAATAAGGAATAAAAAAATTAAGAAAATTTCTTCTAGAATTTGTCAAAAGAGTGTTGTGTTATGCTTCATTTTAAGGTATCTAAATATGTATTTATTAGAAATTTTTAATTTTGTTCTTAAATGGTTTCTTCTTTTTCATTGCTTTAGATTAATATATACTGACTGATATAACTTCATTTTTATTAACAATGTTGTACATTGTAGTCTGCATTCTTTGTTACATTAAAAATAATTGATGCTAATAAATGTTGTTTTATAGTTGTTAAAAGATTGCATATAAGTTTGCATGTATATTATGCTCAAAGTTTAAAATTTTTTGATAAATACATGTATGGGGTGATATATGTTATATAGTTGTTTTATAAATGAGTTTATATAAATGTGTTTTTATAATAGTATGAAATGTATTATATCTAATTTGTGCAAGATTGTTAAATGGGGTGTTTTTATATGCTAAGTAACATTAAAAAAATATATTGTGTTTTATAATTAGTATATATGTCTATATAATGTTGTTTACATGATTTCAAAGTGGAGTTACTTGGCAAACGTGTAGAGCAAGATTTATCAACCTTACCAGTCAAGCGATGTTACTACTTTAGATCTAAGTGTTGCCTAGCCTTTAATATAACTATTCTAAAAACACATTGCATTTAATAATTTTTTGCATAATGTTGTTACCTTTGGCTTATCTTTACAATGGTGTCAGCTGTTAAAAATAATTAATATGTAGTTTCATTACTAGAAATGCTTTTATTAATTTACTAACATTCATTCAAGACCATTTTGCTATAAATACATTTTGTTTATCATGAAAAAACAATATTTAGCAACTACTACTCTCAGGTATCACAATAGCTGATCTCTATCAGGTACATTGCTTTTCAATTCATATATGATGTTTTTCTTTGTATTTACTAACTTGTTTCATTTTTAATTTCAGATTTATAGTGGTTTTATTTGCTATAGAAGAACAAATCATTTTGAATTTTTTAAAAATATATATCTACTCCAGTCAACATTCAAAGCTCAATGTTACATATACCATTTTTAAGTAGCTTCTAGGCTTTTTTGATGCTTTTCTTATTAAAGTGGTTTTATAAGCAAGGTCTGCAAGCAAATTTGAAATGAAATGTTTTTCAGCTTTCAAAGAGAATTAATGTTGTTCTCTGTTTTATTTAATTTGTTTGAATAGAGTAGTTTTAATAAAAAAATGTTTGTTTGTTCTTGGTTTTTTACTTATTTGTTTTCAGATTCTTAAGAACTAGGCAACTTAGCAAAGCAAGATTTATTTTATTTTTTAGTGCAATTGGAAAGAGGTAAATGTTACTGATTTGAGTAAGTTTAATGTTTTGTTTTATTTTATATTAGATGTATATTTTATGTATTTAGCATGAAAAACTGACTGTAATTTTTGACAGGTAAGTTTATATACATAAATGTGCCTATATATCAGAATATTTTATATTTCTCTGAATCTATATTAATATTATCTCATAGAAAAAATTAAAAGGAATAGAAAAAATTTGAATATATAAACATATTTTTCATTTTTTATACAAGATTCAGCATTTATTATTTTTGTGCATTAAGATTGTGCCTGAAGGTAAAAATAACTTTGCATTGTAGTCTTAATTCTTTGCTAAATTAAAATAATGTCAAAAATTTTGTTTTATATTTTTCAGTTGTAAAAATATAAAGCGTTCATTTATTCAGTTGTAACAGTAGTATAATCACTGGTAATATATTTAATTATAACAGATGTATAATATTGCGCTCGAAGAAGTTATTAGTAAATGGTTATAGGTGACTTAAAATTGTTGTCTTTAAACTTTTTTGCCAGAATTTAGTGTCAAGCAGTGTTGATGTCTATTATTTGACTTTACATTAGACACTTTAAAATACAAATTTTAAAGTATGAATTTTACTATTTTTAATATTTTAATTTTAAAGTATGAATTTTACTATTTTTAATATTTTAATTTTAAAGTATGAATTTTACTATTTTTAATATTTTAATTTTAAAGTATGAATTTTACTATTTTTAATATTTTAATTTTAATCTATGAATTTTACTATTTATAGTAACAAGTAATAACAGTTTCAATTTTTAATGATTTTTTTATTTATTCATTTTTTTTTTTAGTTGTTTTTGTCATCACTTGATTATTTTGCTTACTGTTGAAACATGGTTTTAATTTTGTAAATTTAATATGATGTGAAATTTACAATATTAATCATTTGTCAACAGTTAGAGGGAAGCTGGAACTTAATTAAGAAATGCTGGAAATTAACTTTTAGTTAAGGTAAGTATAATTTTGTTTATTGGTAGCATAATAAAACTAGTTACTGTTATTTATTGCATGACTTTTTTACTTTTTCTAACGTGTTGTTTTTAAAACACTTCCTCTCTCTCTTAGATGAGACTTAAATAAGAATTAGTATAGAGAGAGAATAGATTAAACTCATGTAATTACTGAGCTCTTGCGTATTTTTTAATACTGCGATTGATAATTTGCTATTTAAAGATATAATTCTTAAAATTGTCCCTTGGTTGTTATTGGTTATTGTAATAAATAAAATCTTTTTAGTTTCAAGTATTTTATTTTAGGGATCGTCTATATATTACGTAACGCGAAATTAAAAATATAGACAAAAGACATATCTCAAAAACCGTGTTTCTCTCATGGTCAACTATATGTTGCATTTTCAAGAACTAGAGCATTTAATAGTTTGTTTTTCAAAATTGATAAACAACTTATTCAAGTTATAGTAGGTAAAAAATGTAACATAAATATTGTTATTTTTTTTAATGTTCTTAATTTATAGTCTTGAGATTTTCATTTCGAAAATTTACTGTTAATGGTTGTGAGCACATTTTGTATATATAACTTTATTTATCATTATTTATTTTTTTTCATATTTTTTGATAAATATATCTATCATTCAATAGTTGTAAAATGTGTTTATGTGTTATAAAGTCATATTTGTTTACAGTTGTATATATGTTTAAACTATAAAAGCCAAGACAACAATTTATATCTTAGTTTGATTTTTTTTTTAGTATTGTTAATGCTTTTGTACTTCAAAACAGATTTTATAATTGCATTTTCGATAAATCTTTAACTGCTATTTTAAAATAGGTTGCTATAAATAGGTAAATCGATTTTCGGTAATTGTGTAGTGGTTTTTGTTTTTGTTCTTCTTTGTAATTATGATATCATAATTTCATTACCTTTTTTTTTAGAATTACGTTATGACACATAAAATGTATAAAATAAAAAAACCTGATTTCTTTTTATTGTAAATTTTTCTTAGTTTAAAAGATATAAATATATGCTATTAGTTAATTTTATATTTTATCTATTTTATGCCTAATAATTTGTTGTACGTATTTTAAGGGGATCTTTGTAAATGGGGGGGGGGTCGTAATTAAAAACATGGAGAATATTGTAGTTTTGCGCATTAATATCGAGTTACTCAAGTTTTATTTATGTGTTTAACTAATTAGTTAGCTTAGTCTGTATTTGCAACACTTTTGAGGAAAGAAAGAAAACATTCTTATATATGTAGATCATTGTTTTACATTTTATTATTTTATTCACCTGGTCACCATTAAAGCAAAAAGAAGGGAGGAACTTCTTTATTAGAGTCAAAATATTTAAGAAAATTAAATTTCCAGTTACAAAAGGAATTTTTAGTAAACGGTATTTTGCCAATACCGTTTACTAAAAATTAATGAAATAAAGAGGCCAAACAAATAATATAGAAATGGTCTGTGTTGAACAGACTTAACAAGACCCGGGTCGGGTCAGCTTGGTTTACAAATTCTTATGTCTACTTATCTGTTATAATTTTTATTTTAGGTTTGTCATATGATGCATTAATGCATTAAGTTTACATATTTTTTCAAATTTATTATACCCATGTTTGTCATTAAACATTTTTAAGTTAACAATTTTCTTTTTTAAAGAAAAATTAATCAAGGGGATACCAAAAAATTGATAACTCCTGTATAATATAATTTATTCTTTTTAACTTTATTTTAATCTTAATGGTTCGTGTTAAAAAAATTTTTACAAGGATTTCGTTAGTACTTTCGTCAATTTAAAGCATGACAAAGTGTTATTATTTTGTGTCAGTAACTAAAAACGTATTTTGTTAAACTTAGGAAGGTCGATGAAAATGGTTCTGCCTTACACTGTTATGAACTATGCCATTTGTTAATTACTTAAATAATGTTAAGTAGTAATAGTAAATGTTAAGTAGTAGTTTGATAATTGTTTTACCTCCTCATACTTTTTATGTTAATTTTACAAATGGATTAATTTTTTCAAGCTGAAGGCGATTTTCTAAAAGGGTATTAGTTAAGGTTTTGCAACATTAAATTGTGGAAAACAGCCACTAAATTAATTATGTAACAGACCGACCAAAACCCGTATTACGGGTTGCTTTTTGCTAGTCTTGATAAATTGTCAGAAGAGTCTACTCAATTAGCGTTTGTTGTTGGATTGCTAGAAGATTTATCATTAAGATTTCGAGCTGTTATGGATCCAATCGATGTAATGTTACTCAAAGCAAAAAGCTGCTTTGAATCGTGTATGCGGAAATGATGCTGTTGGCGCTGTTTTTCGGAATCAAGCCACAAAAGTTCTGTTGGTGTGTTACAACTGCAAAAGGTTAAATCATATCGCGAGAAACTGTCCCTTTGCAAAGATTCTGGCTGCGAAGAGTTTTTTTCGATATTTTAACGTGGCTGCAAAATGCTTAATGAAGCAGAGAAACAAGTGCGGGAGCGAGGAATATGCGATACCTTGTTCTTGAACAATGGTGGTATTAGGGCACTATCTATTATTCATCTAAAAGTTAATGGTTTGTTAGCAACAGCTATGGTAGACGCGGGTTGTTCAAAGACAATTATACATCAAAAACTGGTGTTTTTTATGTATTTTTTTGTGGTAAATTTTATCAATGTAATGGATTAGCGGCTGTCACTATTGAGGTTTATGGTATCGAAACACAAGACGAAGTTATTTTTGTGAATTTTCAACCGTTTAGAGTTGATATAATGCTGGGAATGAGCTCCATTAAAATGCTTGTTTCGTTGAATAACAGCCATTAAGGGAATTTGTACTTTGGGTGGTCCCATATTATTTTTGTCATATTTAATTTTATTGACTTTATCTTTATTTGAGACTGCTATTCCGTTTGTGGGCAGTTGTTAGGTCATTTATCAGTATGTGATTGGTTACGTGTAGTTTGTAGTCTTTTAAAAGGTGAGTTGTTAGTTTTACGAAGGGTTAGGACGATAAAGTTGCAATGAAAATTTAAAGCGTGTACTTCAAGAGGTTTATGATGAGGCTGCAAAGTGAGATCCACCTTATGGTGATTGTGCTGTACATGGTGACGAGAGGAATGTGTGGGTTGATGCAAGTTATTTGGCAAGTGGTGCAGTTATTCAAGTTGGAAAAACAACTGTAGAAGATGCAACACGACTACGAAAAGAAATGTCTGAGGATCACATAAACATGGTGGAGCTGGATGCTGTAATGCGAGAAATGAATATGGCTTTGACGTGGAAATTAACGAAAGTAACTATTTTTAGAGATTCCGTGACAGTGTTCTACTGTGTCTCTGACGCTCTCACTGGTAAGTCAAGATTGAAATCAAAAGCAATGGGTGAAATGTCGATTCGAAGAAGGTCAGGCGTTCTGCGACAATGTATTGAAGAATATAGTATTAATGTAATTGTAAAACTTGTTCCTTCAAAAGACAACTTAGCTGACGCATTGACTAGAGTTCGAAGTAGATGGTTGAATAAATTGATGGAGGCTAAGAATTCGAGCAATTCCGTTGGAGCAGTATTTGCAGAGGCTGAATTCATATCTAGCATACACAAGAGAACTGGACACTTTGGAGTAAACCGCACTCTAAACTTTGCTCGTAAAGTAATTCCAACCGCTACCGTAAATGACGTTAGAGAAGTACATAAAATATGCGAACCATGTCAGTCAGTAGATCCACCACATGTACTATGGGAGAAGGAAAAATTGAGCGTTAAAGAAAATTGGGAAAGAGTGGCCGTAAACATCACATATTTTGGCACAGAAAAATTTTTAACTCTGGTTGATTGTGGACCTTCAATATACGCACTGTGGCGATAACTTTCAAGCTCATACGGAAGTATTGCCCTTACTCGAATACTCCACCTTATCTTTTGCGAGCGAGAAGAATCATCTAAAATTTTGACAGATTTTAGATGATTCTTCTCGAAGCAACTTTTAAAACTGTGGAGTTTAGAAGTTTTTTTGCTGTTAACAGCATTGAATTTATAAGAAAACACTGAATAGGATTTAGGTAAGATATAAAAGTATTTTGAGTCACTTATTTCACAATTTCTTTTATTTAAAATATTTGTTCATTGCTTAATTTCTTTAGATTTATATCACATCACTAAATTCCTTTAGAAATATATCATACTTATCTTGCTTTATTTTTCTAGTTTCATCTGATGATTTATAAAATGAATTAAAATATTAAAGTTAAAATCATAACATTTAATAATTGAATAACAGCTTTTGAGTTTAGTTATCAAAACAGAGTTTACGATTTTTGAAAAGCAAAAAATTTAAAGGCCAGAAGCCTTTTTTGATAAGCACTTGATTCGAGCTTTGATTATTATTTTAATTTTGTGAATAATAAGCTATTTGTAAATATTGATTAAAAAAGTTTAAACAATTATTAACTACTAAAATTTTAAAATACTTTAAAACCAATTTCAATAAATATTGATAATTAGCATAGTATTTGCAACTTGAACTTTTATTAAAATCCTAAATTAAATAAAATAGTTTTTCTTAAAACAAACAAAACAAAATAAGAACATTAAAAAAAAAAAAAAAAAAAAAAAAAAAAAAAAAAAAAAAAACTTTTAAAACGGCTGTCAAAGTCTTAATATCAACAGAAGTTTGATTCATACATTGTATGTGTACAGCATTATTATCGTAACTAAAGTAGCATACGCTTACGTCCACCACTACATTTATATATTCAATGAAATCTATTTTACAACAAGACTCTATTTTAAATCAACTTCCTTATTTTAGGAAAAAACAAATACTCAAACAAGTGATATATAAAAACCATCAAAGCAACAGTTTTAAATGGGAGGTGGAGGGGTGGGGGAACCTTGAGAAATATTCCCCCTCCCCACCTTACCAAAAATAAAAACAGAATCCCCAAATAAACTTTGGGTTCGTCACTGGTAATGTATATATTATTTGTAAAACTCATTTAACCAATTTAGCATCAATCTCGCTTAAGATGACAGTTATTTAAAATAAAAATCGTAAACATAATGTAAAACATGTTGTAACCAATATTTGAGAAAGTCTTATTATTTGTAAATGTTAATGTTTCAATTAACACAGCAATACAACTAAATGTCAAGTCGAGTGTGTAAAATTGCATGAAAACTGCATAAATCAAAAAAAAAAAAAAAAAATGTTATCGTATGACTTTTAAAATTATAAGATTATTTTATTATTACATGGCCAACAAATTTATTAATATTTTTTTATAATACCAATTAGTTAAGTATTTAAAATTAATAGCAACAAAGATTTAATAAATAAAAATTAATTGGAAACTTTTAATGACTATATATCAATTATAATTTAACCTATAGCAACTAAAATTTATATGTAATTAAAGTGAATTTATTTAAAAAGAAATTTATTGAATAACAGTTAAATTGTAATAATCAACAACTAATAAACATGATGTTAAATATGTTGGATGTTGTCAATTTTTAACTGAATGCAATCAACATAAAAGTTAAAACAAAAAAGATCAGTGTTTTTGTTACACTTTTTTTTTTTGTTCTTTAATTTTACAACTTTGTGATTTAATAAATATTCGTTAACAATGTATATATATATACATGATCGTTATTAGGAAATAAAAGAACGCGGAACTCGTACCGTAAGGTCTTGTCGTCGAGAACCGCTAAAAAATTTTCGTGTTAATATTTCGTATTAATAAAATATTCTCAAAATAAATAAACTTTCAATAGGAATATATACTTAATATACTTGAAGATAACAAGTAATTAAGAATTTAGAATTGAAAACATAAACAAATTTAAAAAAAAAAAAAAAAGAAAAACGGTTCCGTTATAAATCCATAGATGCGTTATACAGTTTTAAGATATCTTTAGCACACTTGCAAAGATCAGTGTTTTTGTTACATTTATGATACATTATTTTGTAATAGAAAGCATGGATTTTAAAGGAGGAGGAGGAGGAGGAGGAAAAGGAGGAGGGGATTGTCCACAATATCAGCTTACCTGAAAAACTTAGCAGTGGAAGCTTAGGCGGAGTAGTACAATGAACCAAAATAAGAAAATCTTTCTCTTTGCGAATGTTTTCAACATAAACTATAAAATTTTAATGTTATTATCGGTTTTTTAATATTATTATCGGTAGCACTCCCTTGCGAGTTAGGCTATTTGATAGTCGATGTATGTACTTTTCCCTCTATAAAATTTGGTTACGGGGACATTTACAAAAAAATGGTGCTTAAATTCAGGGACAAAAAATTGAATATATATATATATATATATATATATATATATATATATATATATATATATATATATATATATATATATATATATATATATATATATATATATATATATACACATATATATATATATATATATATATATATATATATATATATATATATATATATATATATATATATATATATATATATATTTATATATATATATATATATATATTTATATATATTTATATATATATATATATATATATATATATATATATATATATATATATATATATATATATATATATATATATATATATATATATATATATATATGTATATATATATATATATATATTAGGATGTCCCAAAAAAAACCAATATACTGTCACTTTCTTAATGTGCTCTATATGATAAAAAAACTGAATCTAAAATTTTTTAAATAAAAAATATTTTTTTAGGTCCCTCAAAACCCTTGAACACTTGATGAATTCCTAATATTATCAAAAAAAGTTGTTCAAAAGTACATCCTGTTGGGTCTCAAATGAGACAAAATCAAATGAAAATAAATATGTTAGAATCAAAAGCATTAAAAATAAAGTTATTAAGTAAAAAAAAAAAAAAAAAATGCATTTTTACAATTTTTTTTACATTTTTTTTTAATAACATTTTTATAATATAATTATCATTTTTTGAGTTTTCATATGATTTTCCTTCATTTGAGATCCAACATGATTCTTTTGAATAACTTGTTTTTTTTTAATAATTTTAGCAACGCATTAAATGTTTAATAGGTTTGGGGGACCCTGGAATATATTTTATTCAAAAATTTTTATTAGAGTTTTTTTTTATCATATAAAACACATTAAGAGGGTGGCAGCATATAATTTTCAAAAATATAGATTTTTGGAAAACCCTAATATATGTATATGATGAGTGGACTTGCAAAACCAGATAATTCACTTTTTTTTTTTCATTTTGAGACAGTGGTAAACAATGTTTTCCAGTAAATGGAACAGCTAAAAATTAAAAAAATTAAGTTAATAGATGACATTAAAAGAATGTTTAAGACAAAATTTTGAAAATCATGCTCTTTTAATCTTATTTTTTATTACAAAATGAAAAAAAAATTTTATCTGGTTTTGCATGCCAATTATTTTTATAATCTGATTTTCATCGCAAATTTATTTTTAACTGGTTTTCAAAGCTTCATGAAGTCAACTTGACTAGTGACAATTTTAATAACCAATATAATTGTGCAAAATGTCCCTCTGCCTTAGAAAAGAAGTAGGGTAAGGTGGGGCAAGAAGCCCATCATAAGCAATTTCGTCTTTTTTTTACTGATCCAATAAACGTATCTAGAAATTTATGTTACCATTATTTCAGATACATAATAAACTTAAGTATCTAAAGTTATTTTCTTAATGGCTACTCAAGTTTTAATGGAAATATGCTTTTTATAAACTGCTATAGAGTTGGCCTTTTGCCCCATTGCTGGGGCAAAACGCCCCTACCCTGGGCCTTTTACCCCAAACGTTAATAGCTTGAAATATTCCTTTTTTACAATAAAAATTTATTGCAACGATACACTTTTTACTAGTCACAATATATTTGTGTGTAAAAATGTCCAACAAAAGTTTTAGTAGAACACTTAGCACCATAATATTAGCAAGTAGCACCATATATGCTATCATATGACAATGACAAACAGCACCGTAAAATTAATAGAGCTAAAAAGAGCTAAAAATTTATAAACTAAAAAGATAGCTATAAAAACTAATTTATAGAGCTGAAAAACACAGCTAAAAGCTAATTCATAGAGCTTAAAAGTTGCTAAAAAAAACTAATTCATAGAGCTAAAAAGATATCTAAAAAAATAATTCATAATCCAAAAAGACAGCTAAAAAACTAATTCATACAGCTAAAAAGACAGCTAAAAAACTACAGTAAGACTAGTTGAATTGATTATGCCTAATGGCAGTGAAAGCAGACAGCAGTGTCTTCAGGACCACAGCCGTCGTGGTACCAGTTGAGACATTCTGGGCATTGCTGCCAATCATCAATGGGTGGTTCGTTAAATCTTTTACCACACATGCAACATGGCGTATCATCACTGTTAGTAACAGAACCTACACATCTTCGTTCTTTTGACCCTTTTCTTATCACGTTAGCATTCGATGCGTTACTTTTGGTTGTCCTTTTTGATTTTGTTCTCGCATATTGCTTCCTTTTCCCGGTTTCTTTGTCGTCTCCACTTTTCGTTCTCTTGGATTTGTCTGCGATTACATCGATTTCGTCTTCATCATTTTCCTCATTATTATTTTCAACTACTACTTGCTTGTTCTGTTTTGTCTTCTTTGCATTTGCTTCAATTAACATTGCTTTATAAGGACTAGAAGTTATTACAGTTGCTGCTTCGGTTTTTCGTTTGCGACTGCGTACATTCTTTATCCTTGGAATAGGGCTTAGTTCTGATATAATCTGCAATGCTTCGGATAAACCAGGATGATCAGCTGTTTTATCTAGTTGATTTTCATCGGACTCATTGCTATCTCCTGTTGCAATCCTATTAGTCTCCATCACATTAACTGATGCTTCATCATCCACCGCATTGCCGGCTTCTTCATTTGTATTCGTAGGTTCACTTGTTTCGTTTCTAGCTAATAATGCTCTTTCCATCATTTGGATGTGTTTAACAAGATCTTGTTCAATTTCAATAGAAAAAGTATTCACATGATTTCCTAATTTATTGCTCCAAACTTGTCTTACTTTGCCCTGCAAATGCCTTCTCAATGTCTTCCTTGAAACTCCAAAACTGTTTTCAGCTTTACGCAAAGACATACCATTTTTTACTGAATCTAAAGCCCGTTGTAAAACTTCTGCTCCATAACTTCCGCTTTTTGTCTTTCTTTTGTAATTTCTACCCAGACAGCAAGCTTACATTGGACCAATCTTAGGCCAATGCATGGTGATGCATTGGCCCAACGTTGAAAGTCGATGTTGGCCCAATGCAGGTTTGATCATTGGTTAGGTATTGGCCCAATGTTGTGTACAACATTGGCCCAATGTTGTATACAACGTTTACCCACCATTGGCACAACGTTGTATATAACGTTAGGCCAATATTGTAAACAATGGCCCAACGTTTTATACAACATTGGCCCAACGTTGTATACAAAATTGGCCCAATATTGTGTGTTATACGATTATTATTTTTATATTGGCCTAACGTTTTATGCAACATTAGATCGTTGTTACAAATAAGATGATTTGCATCGCTACATTGAAAAATTATAGAGAAAAAAAAGAATGTATTAAACAAGTATAAAAATTTACTTATTAAACATAATTTCTCGGTTAAATATACATATTGCAAACACCAAACTTATACCAAAAACTGACACATTGAGTTTTAAATAAAAAAATTCACTGTAAAATTTATAGAGTAGTTTCAATATTGACTGAGCTACTTGTTATTGAATCATGTTTAGCTTATGATATTTGGTGCCCACGATTATTATTTTTTCTTCTGCTATCTCCATCACATGTCTGCATAAGCCCTGCTTATTTGACTTCATAGTTTCTGCAAAAAAAAAATAGTTGTTTGTTTAATTATGCACCAAAGAAAAATAACAAATTGAAAGTAATTCTGTAATACAAAATTGAAACTGAAAAAATAAACTTTTCTAAACCATTTACCAATAGGAGCATATGCAATCAACCTTTTTCCTATTCCAATTTTTTAACCTCTCCCTGCATAATTTTAATTTTACAGCTAGGCCATTTTAACAAACTATTCTTAGTAAATAACATATACAATCTCCTTCGTCTTTAACTCCAATTTGTGCCAAAAAATTAACTTGCAAAAATACACAGCCTGGCAGTAATTAAAGTAACTTTTATTTAGACTTAAATTAATATAAAATGTCATTTACAAAAAATCTTCAAAGAGTATTTTATTTAAATAATATAAATTGTACTACATATCATACTAAATGCATAAACAGATCATAAAAAATTATTTACCATTTACTGAAGTGTTTTCTTGTCTTTTTTCTTCCAGAGTACTTGAATTCTTCACTGCTTTTAATGGCTATGACACTCTTTCAGGCAATACAATAATTAGCACACCTTTGATACTCAAACTTTTATAACTGATTTTGATGTATTTTGTAGTTCACCAAGTTGCACTTCAATGCTTGCCCATTGTGCCAATAATACCAGCATATCTTTCAAGGATACAACTTTATCTTGAAACAATAAAATTAATTATATTATTAAGAAACTATGCAACTAATTATATATTATATTTAGAATTTATGAAAGTAAATACAACAATCACTAAAAAAAGAGATAAAATTAAAGACAGAGGGCCAAACTTTTAATGATCAAAATATATACTTGCTAATGGATTCATAATATTTTTATGAATTATGAAATTTGCATTTCATAATTCATAAAAATTATGAAATTGCAAATTTTGCATTCAATTTCTGGGACTGACACAAAACAATTCTTATTGTTTGAGATACACATTGCAATGTAAAACAAAAAAACTCATATTAAAACAATGTTTCTCCAACAGGGTTCGTAGCCAACTATTTATATAAAATTAAATGACTTTTTTGAACAATCAGATGAATTTCCCTGACGATTTTTAACAATGGTTTTTACAAAATGTTTAAAATTACTATCTACTATAATGGAAATGCTAAGAATATGCATGCTTTGAATGAAAAAACTTATAAAACTTAGCTATTACTTAAGTTAGATATTAGTATAGATCTTATTATACATGTTAGTATGGTTCTTATTATTAATGATGATTAAGAATAAATACTAAGAAAAACTTGTTTCAGAAAAAATAAATTAGTAGCACCAAAAAAAATATAATAGCTTAATTGAGCGCTGTATTTTGAAAATGTGACAAGCCACAAAATTAAAATTTTACAGGAGAGTAAAAAACATTTTTCCTAAAAAAAAATTTGTTTTTATTTAACTAAAAATTATTATTTTTTATCAAAAAAAAATCTTTATTTTATCTAAAAAATCTTTTTTTATCTTAAAATTTTATCTTTTACTAAAAAAAATATTCTTTTTAAATAACCTCAATTTTAAAAAGTGTGACTCTTCACGTTTTCAAAATCCAGCGTTCAATTGCAAAATGAGTAACTTCTTAAATAGAATTACTGACTTTTCCATGACTATCTAAAAAAATAATAATTCCCTGACTTTTCCAGGTTTTCCACGACTTTGGCCAATATTAACATATTTTCCAGATTTTCCAGGTACAGTACAGACCTTGTCCAATGTTTGAATATAATTTTTTTTTATATATTTTAGTTCTGAATTTTATTATTACAATTTAAAAAATAATATCATCTATAAAAACATCGTATTACCTTTGTCTATTAGATAAATTTAAATAAACGTTTATATAATAAATAATAATGAACCACCAGCAACTGTTAAAACTTTAAACTGATATGAATAGTCAGTTGTTTTTTTCAACAGTTGATTTTAAATGGATTTCAAAGTTGGTGACTTTAAAATCCAACAAAAAATTTTTGTTACATTCATAAACATAAATGTTCTCAAAACGACTAAAAAACCTGGCCAGTTCTTCGCAACTAAATATAATTTCGGTGGTCAGTATCCAAGAGCAATCGCTCCTGCTTCCTGACCAAGCCAGTGGTGTAAGCTTTGATATGTGATTATTATAAAATAAAATGTTAATTACACTCTGACTTTTTGACCGTAATATATGAAAAAGTATTTAAAATTGTAAAAGTTAAAGCTATGATTAAAGATTTTCAATCACCAGACATAAAGAATTTTATATAAAAACTTACCATTTAATAAATTTTGTTCATTTAACTTCTCAGAGCAAACATTGAACTTCTGTAAAGAGTTTGTAGTTACAGGTAAAACCCAAAGTTTAATAGTATTTTTAGTTTTATTATAAGAAATTGAGGATAAATGATCTACACCAAGATATACACAATTTTTTGTCTCTTTAATCTTTATGGTGGCTGGTTATTTTTGCTATCTTCCTTTTTTGTCTCCAGAGCAGAAGTTTAGCCTTCTGCTAAATCTGCTAATTTTGTATTGCTATAAAAATCTATAAATCAAATTATTAATAATTAAGTTATAACGAAAGTTAATGTATAAGCTTAAAGTTGTTAACTGCTGTATGCAAACTAATTATGAAAAATATCCAGAGATATTAAATTAAAAATTATAAAACCAAGAATAATGTCCATCTGCCTCAGAAAGATCGAATATATAAATGGTTTTTTCAATTTAAATCATGATTTAAATCAGACAAATAAAAATAATGATTTAAATTGAGTCTTTTTATTTCAATTGATTTTAATGATTATTTATTGATTTAATCTCATAATTCAATAAATTATTATAGACTAGTCATTGGTCTTAAAACAAAATGTCTGGCAATATTAGAAAGCTCTACATAAGTAGAATATAAATTCTAAAAACATCACTTTTTGTACACTGTTTTAATATTTTAGTAGATAAGGTTTCACAACCAAACAAAAATGACATACTTAAACTATAAAATATCAGCTTCTAACAACTTTAATGCCACATATATATTACTGATACCTTTAATAATATATCTTATAATAGCTATATAATCTAAACTATTATAAATAAATTATGAAATTTTTTTTTTGTTCAATACTTATACTGTATGACATTTTAAATGATATATTTAATAAAAAAGAATTTAAAATGTCTTCTTTATTAAATAAATCGAACATTTGAAATGTTACATTTATTTAATAAAGATTATTAAATAAATCAAACATTTGAAATGCTAATACAGCAATAAGTATAAAAAAATAACTTTAAGATCTTACACAAAAATAATTTAATTATTACCTTTATTATTACATTAATAATTTACATTGTAGTAAAAAATGTTTCAAGCATATTATTTAACTGTTAACAAATATTTCATTATTAAAAAAAAAAAAAAAACATTAAGTCACGAGAATCTCTTGAAATTTATTTCATATAACGAACCTTTTAAGAGTCTTAAAAGATTCATAAATATAGCTTTTTTTTTATATATATAATTTAGAAAAATGGAAAGATAATATCAAAACCTTTTTTTAGTCTGTCAAACGATACCATTTTTAAAAATGTTTTAAAAATATTTACTAATCCGCAACTACATTGGCCGAATATTGGCTACGGCTTAAATGTAAGAACAAATTTTTATAGCAAAATATTAGGCCTAAACTACATTGGCCAAATGTTGGCCCAACGTAGTACGATAATTACAAAAAACCGATTTGTAGAATTACAATATTACGCCGAAGAAAAAACATTGGCCAAATGTTGGCCCAATATAGTACGATATTTGCAAAAAACCGATTTGCAGAATTGAAAATAATAGGTCGAAAAAAAACATTGGCTAAATGTTGGCCCAACGGAATAAACTTGCCAATGTTATAACTTACGTTGGGCCGATGTAAGCTTGCTGTCTGGGTAACCATGTCTATAAATAAAATAAAGTTAAAATTTGAACATTCTACTTAAATAATGCAAGGGGTAAAAAGCTCAGGATGGGCCTTTTGCCCCATTAACAAACTGGGATTTTTGCCCCAAAATGGCCGGTGCAAAAATTGATAAAAACATATTATTCTATGGTACAATGAACGTTACGTAAATAATCAATACATAATTTGTACGCTTACAAATACATAAACTCATTTAAATAATCAACTAAGTTTAACAATAATCTACAAAAAATTTTTAAAATTACGCAAAAAATCAAAATATCCTAATCTTATTACCTGTCAAGTTTTCAATATTCTGTTAAAAATTATATTTCTACTAAAAGTTCACAAAACTTTGCTCGCAACACCGTTACACATTTATCATTCATACTACAAAACAATAATTATAATATCTTACCTAGGTTCTTTATAACTGCAGGATGGGCCTTTTACCCCACCTGGGCCTCTTGCCCCACCCTACCCTAGTTTTAATGTTTGATACTTTTAAAGGATTGATGAAGTTAAAACTCAATTGCAAATGTTTAAACATGGTTTTTGTGATTTTCGTGAATTTTTTTGTATATGATTTTTTTCTCAAATAACGTCCTCTATTTTATAAAAACATTTTTAAACAGAATGTTGATTAGATAAAAATTTTGTCTTATTTTGCATGGACAATTTTTTTATCTGGCTTTGCACGAACAGAATAATTTAAGGCAGGTAAAATGTTATTAAAATTGTGGCTTTTAAATTTAATTTTTATTTGTAAAGATGTAAGAATATAAGTACTACAAAAAAACATTTTTTAAGTCTTTTTTTTTTTTTTTAAGTGAATTATCTGGTTTTTTTTTTTTGTTAAGTGATTTTCTACTAATATATGTGAAGTGGGCTTACTTCACATTTATTAGTAGAAAATCACTTAACAAAAAACTTTCATGTTATGCACTATATATATACTTTTTGTTATATTAAATTATATTATATTATATTATATATATATATATATATATATATATATA